ATACAACATCTTTAATTTTTAGTAAATTTTATTCTTCACTGATTTTATTTTTCTTATTTTTATAAATTTTTCAGTCAGTTCTATTGTTATCGGATCAACTGAAGATGTTCAAAGAATACATAAGGAAGCTAAAAGTTGCAGTTGGAGAAGAAAAAAGCAACTACATTATAGCCAACAACTTACATGTAGTAGTACTGGGTAGTGATGACCTTGCCAATACCTTTTTCACCATTGGTATCAGGAAATTACACTACAATGTTGATTCTTATACTGATCTTATGCTCACCCAAGCTTCCAATTTCATAAAAGTACCCTTCTTAATATTGTTTATAATTAGGGTATGTTCAATACTATTTCATAAAGGTGCCCTTTTTAATATTGTTTAGCAACCGTTTTTCCATCGTGTTTTTATGTTTTTATCAGTGTATTATAGCGAAATAAAAACAAAAAACGTGTTTGGTAACATTTGTCACGATTTGAATAGTACTGAAGTGCTTCTGAAAAAAATGCCAAAACCGGAAGCAAAAAAATTGATGAAAGGAAACTCTAAAATGTCATTTTTGACTAGCTATTTAATTTTTCAAACTTGCAACACTTTTTAATTATCAAATATGTTTTCATATTTTTGCTTCCAAAAATCTTACAACAAATATTCTTTACCAAGCAAGGTTGCAAATAGTATTGAATACACTTCAAAACAAAATTACTACTTCTGTTTTTTATCAAAGCAACTATGCTTTACCAAACGCGCCCTTTGCCATTCGGCATGAGTAAATTTTTTAGTACAATCATTAGTAAATAGGGAGTGTTACAATAGTTATTAAATTCGAGATAGATCTAACTTTTGATATTAAATTGGTTTTCGAAGGAAATATATCAACTAGGGGCACGAAGGATGGCGGTTTTCGGTGCTCCGCCGGTGGGATGTTTGCCGGCACAAAGAACTCTAGCAGGGGGACTACTTAGAATGTGCAAGGAGGAGTATAACCAAGTTGCCCGGGTGTTCAACACCAAGCTGTTTGGTGCGCTTGGTTCGCTCCAGAGCAGCCTAGCTCAATCCAGGGTGGTCTATATTGATATCTACAACCCTCTGTTTGATATCATCAAAAACCCTCACAACTATGGTAGATTACCTACCCTACTTAAAATTTTCTATTTCCTATTTCTTTATTTGGTTTGCTTATCAAACCCTTCTAGTTTTAGTTCTTAGAATAATATTTAGTTCTCACCAATTTTTAAAAAATAAAGAAGACTAGTCGAGACCGTGACGGATTTAGGAATTTTTTTTTAGGGGAGCGCCATTGAAGAAAAAATAAAATTGAAGATAAATATTTTTAAAATAAAATTATAAGTATAAGAATTTTAAAAAGTTAGTGGGGGTAAAAATGTGAAATGGAGAATTTTAAAAAATTGAGTGGGGGTATTTTTGAAATTTTATTTGAAACAATAGATAATAATGTAAAATTGTAAAAAATTTAGTGGGGGTATTTTTGAAATTTTAATTAAGATATAGGTAATAATGTAAATTGGGAAAAATCAAGTGGGGCCATTTTTGAAATTTTAGTTGAAACTATAGGTGATAATGTAAATTGGGAAAAATCAAGTGGGGGCATTTTTAAAATTTTAGTTGAAACTATAGGTAATAATGTAAATTAGAAAAAATCCGCCCCCACTACGACTGAATTGGGTCCGTGCCTAAGTCCAAAACACAAGGCTCCCACCATTACAGGGTTTGAAGAAAGTCAGATATGTGTAGCTTTACTCCCTATGTGGAGAGATTGTTTTCATGATTCGTACACCATAACGACTTTAACCGTTGCATGCAGAAAAAATTGTTTCTATTCATCAAACCCGCACCTTCAAGATTTAATTTATTAGATTATTATATGGAATACATAGTGACACTGGTGTTTTATGTACATATGGGTGATATAAATAATTATTTCAGGGTTTGATGTTGTGGAGAAAGGTTGCTCTGGTACGGGGAATGTAGAAGTAGCAATTTTATGTAACAAATTAAGCAACACATGCCCAGATGACTCTATTTATCTATTTTGGGACAGTTACCATCCCACTGAGAAAGGTTACAGACTCCTCGTCGATCAGATCCTCAAGAAGTACGTCAATGGATTCCTGTGAACTGGGTTCACCTCTACCATTTCTCTCTCTCATCCAATCTCTTCCATCCGATCAACACCATCGGACGGTCCACGGTGGTCCTTTTACTCGATCAAATTTACAAAATGTAACCATTTATCACTGCGTTATTGAAATTATTATATTATTGGGAGACTAAACCAAATTTAATACATTTTGAAATTATTATATGATCTGGAATTACATGATCCCGGTCAATTTTAACTCGAAATATGAGCAAAATTTTGAAAAAAGGCTACACGTTCATTTGCATGTCAAATTGTAATTGAAGGAAAGTTTTAAAAAATTGACAACTTTTTAGGCCATAATTAAAAAAAGTGACAGTATTAAAAAAGATGGGTGTATAAAGCCATTTAATACAATGTAATTACAAATACAAATACAATAAAGACAAAATTACCCTTACCTTTTTAAAAATTACCCATTACCTATTTCTCTCTCTAATACTCTCTCCGGCAACCCACCCAGTGATATTCCAACGAAACACCATTTTTTCCCACGACCTACCTAGTGATATTCTAGCGAAACACCATTGTTTTTGGGCGAACCATCAGGGAACCAATCTTCTCCGGCGAGATCATGATTGGCACTATTGCCTTTACCTCTAGCTTAGCAAAAACCTAACCAATAACCAATAACCAATAACCAATATTTAAAGGTAAAAACCATAACCCAATGATTGAATAAAATAAAATAAAAAGGAGATATATAAGTTACCTTTTAAAAGATGCCACTTTTATCCTTCAGTGAAAAAAAAAAAAAAAACTAGCCTTCAAATTTGACTGATAAATAAATTATCCAGTAAAATAACAAGAATCTTAAAAATATTAAATATTATATATATATATATATATATATATATATTCATAATCGGTGAAGAGTCAGAGGCAGATTTCGGCCCCAAACCCGCTTCAAATTTTTTATTTTATTTTATCATACTCGCCTCAAATTTATTTAAGTAGGACCGGGTGTAAACACTCGAGGTAGAGAAAAATTGCCATCCTGGTCTATTACTTGAATCCAAACGGTTGGGTTATTATTAGGGAAAATTACATATAAATGGAGTCAAAGTTCCATATTTACTTAGATGCTGAGTCAAAGTTCCATATTTCTCTAAAATGGATTGCTGAGGTGGCACATGATTTTTTACTGTTTAGAAATTGTGGTGCCTAAAATGCCCTTCCGCGAAGGTACTACTTTTTCTTCGAAGGTACTACTTTTTTGAACTGAAGGTACTACTTTTTGGCATCCAGGTACCATATTTTTTAAACACCAACGAAGGTACTACTTTTTATCCGAAGGTACTACTTTTTTGAACTGAAGGTACTACTTTTTTGAACTGGAAGTACTACTTTTTTGTTAGGGAAGGACATTTTAGGCACCACAATTTTCTAAACAGTAAAAAACTATGTGCCACCTCAGCAATCTATTTTAGAGAAATATGGAACTTTGACTCTATTTATATGTAATTTTTCCTTATTATTATTATTTTTAATTTTTGGGTCGTTTTGCGTGAATGAGAGAGCCGGCCCAACAGTGAAATGGATATGATATGGATCCCATTGTATCACCAACAAGAACAGGTGGCCCAAGCAGTCATGTCCTTGGATGATATGATAGGGATCGTATTTCACTAACCATATCTGATTTGTGGATGTGTATGTGCTTGTCACCACCTCATGTCTAATCATTTTTCTTAAAAATATACTCAGTAATGAATTGCCGTTAAAGCTGTTCAAGATATTAATTAGCATAATGTGATGGGCACGGTCAATATCCTCCCAAATTACATCTATAATTGTTGCTTTTATGGTTATAGGACCTAAATCCCTATTTCGTTCAGTTCGGATTAATAATAAAGTCTACGTATCATTTTCATTCTGCAAAAACAACAATAGTTATCGATTGATCATGAAGATATTCATATATATATATATATATAGATTTTGAAAAATTATTGTGTGGGTTAAGAACTGATGATCATAGTTGCGCAAAGGAGGTGACATAAATATATATAATTATATATATATATGAATGAAATTAATGTTGGCTCACAACGGTTTCCCCATGGTTGAAATTTGGCACTACTAGGTTGTTTATTGAATGATTGGTTCATCTGATGTTTGATTGGCTTCCTTTGCTTAACTTTATTGGTTGGGAGCTGGAACCATCCCCATATTATAATATGGTAGATTAGAGTTACATGTCTTCCTCGAGGAAAACTTAAATGGACTGGCTTTTTTTTTTTTCCCTTCACTTTTCCTTCCTCTTACGTTTTTTTTTTTAAAAAAAAATATAATAATAATAATAATTAACTACAAGGCAGATAGATAAACTCCCCACAAAAATAAATAATAATGATATTTTTATCCTTTATACAAAATGTAGGTTAGTTAAAAATAATAGGTGAAACAAGATAATTATATATGAACAATGATATTCAGACTTACTAATTAAATTTATTTCTCAAAATGATAGAATTAAGGCATTCATGGCCTTAATTCTACTTTAGGTCAATAATGGCCTTGATTGTTTTGCTTTAACAAATATATATACGACATATTTTGAATTTAAGAACAAGGTGAAGCATTTTTAACTTGTAGAAAAAAGAAAAAGATCGCAAGCCATGCATTTTGAGTGAAGTCAATTATATTAATGTGCAGACCTACCTGCATTTTTCAATGTCCGTCTCCACGTTTCTAGCTAATAATATTAAAGATCATTACTATGCAAGTGATTACAGAAACCATAGAAATTACACACACAAAGCTTAAGCTTAAACTTTTTTATTTATTTCCTTTCTAATACACGCACTTAGTCTCAATACTAGTGTGTTCATGACAATGTTGGTCTTCTTTATGAAATTGTCTGCTAATTCTTCAATTTCTAGTTTGTTCCCACTTCTCTTTGCTTTTCTTCTTTTGTGCACTAGTGATGCAGTCGTAAAGCTGCCGGAAAACGTAACTTTCCCGGCAGTGATAGCGTTCGGAGATTCGATCATGGACCAAGGGAACAACAATAATATCCAGACGTTAATCAAGGCCGATTTCCATCCATATGGGAAGGACTTTGAGGGTGGATTACCAACAGGAAGGTTTTGCAATGGGAGAACCCCTGCAGACTTTCTAGGTAGCAATCAAACTCTCTCTCTCTCTATCTTTCTCTTTATATACACACACAGATATATATATATATATATATATATATATATATATATATATATATATATATATATAGTTTTTCTTGACTTCTTTTTACACAAATAGAAGCAACTACACGTGATCCTATTTAGACCAGTATACAACAACAGAATTCTAAAATTATTTAGGGTTAAAAAATGTCATTGCTCATAGCCTTATAGTCTTCAATATCTTCAGCGACTGAGAGTGTTAAAGAAATAGACTAGATACAAAATTAACTTTATTGAGCCAAAAAGAACATTTTGAATAAAATAATCTGGTTGCAGAGAAAATGTTTTGAATGATCAAACATAACATTCTAGACCATTTGAAATTTTAGAATCTATTAACGTGGCTTTTAACACTTTTGAGACTGAAAACCAAGTAGAATGGGAATTAAAAATTTTAGGATAAATTACATTGATTTTCCTTTAGGTTCGGACAAATGACACACAAATAAAATATTCAATATTTACTACTTTAACCTCCTATGAGATTTGGCGCATATTTAATTTTGTATAAAAATCAAGGCATCACTGTCACTTTTTGAAAACCCGGAAAAGAATTCAGTGGAGGTCAAAGTAAAAACATTGAACAATTTACTTATGTATTATTTGCCCAATTTTTTAGGAGATTAGTGTAATTTATCCAAACCAAATTTTATAGCACCATTTTAATTTAATTTAATTTTTTTCTCTACTAGTCTTGAAACCTTGACCTTAGGGAATGTAGTCTACTTATGTATTATTTGCCCAAATTTTCACTAGATCAGTGTAATTTATCCAAACCAAATTTTATAGCACCATTTTAATTATTTTTTTCTTTTTTTCTTTTCTTTTTTTTTTTTTTTTTTTTTCTCTCTCTCTCTACTAGTCTTGAAACCTTAGCCTTGGGGGCTGGAGTCGAAGGACTAATTTTTTCTTTTTTCTTTTTTTTTTTTCTCTCTACTAGTCTTGAACCCTTGACCTTAGGGGCGGGAGTCAGAGGACGTTGAAATAGCATTAGGGAGTTTAGACCCAAATCCACGAGAACAAATGTAGACTAGTTATAGCACCACTTTATTGGAGATCATTTTTATTTCACAAAGTAAATTCTTCTCTCTCTCTCTACTAGTCTTGAAACCTTAACCTTAGGGGTTGGAGTCAGAGTACGTCGAAATAGTATTAGGGAGTTTAGATCCAGATCCACTAGAACAAATGTAGACTAGTTATAGCACCACTTTATTGGAGATCATTTCTATTTCACAAAGTAAATTCTCTAGCTTACTCAAGTCTTAAAGTGCATTGATATCTCCTCTCTTTTTTAAAGTGTATGGCAAAGATTAAAGTCTCCACAAGTTTCTTGTTAAGAGTAATAATAAATAAATAAAATAAAAATGTCTTAAATGGTTAAAATCACCTAATTAATTTCTCTATAGAGAGAGTCTTAAATTGGTCTAATTTTATTTTAGCTTGTCAACTCATACTTCCTCAAATCATCTTCATTCTTGCTTTAGTCTCACATGCATGAAGTGGGCCAAAAGATCACCAAAAGACCTCAAAAGGGTAAACATGAAACAGTTGAATATGTGGGCCAGCCCAAGCCAACATCTCTCATCAAATTGGGTTGGGCTAGTGTTCTTCCAACCTCATCCGTTTATTCTAGGATCCATAATTTTTTCACTTTCCTCTTGTTTTCCATTTTTTGTACCTTAAATTTATAGCTAATTCATATGGAATCTATTTTTCTTTTTCAGCTGAAGAATTAGGAATAAGAGACATTTTGCCCGCATATCTGGACCCGAACCTGAATACTGAAGATCTCCCCACCGGTGTAAGCTTCGCTTCACGAGGCTCAGGATATGATCCTCAAACACATAAGACAGTGGTAAGAACGTATTTAAATAAATATTACATTTACAGCAAAAAAAATTCAGTAAATTTTATTTTTCATTAATTCTCTCTCTCTCTCTCTCTCTCTCTCTCTCTCTCTCTCTCTCTCTCTCAAATAAATCAGTCAGTTCTATCGTTATCGGATCAACTGGACATGTTCAAAGAATACATAGGGAAGCTAAAAGGGACAGTGGGAGAAGAAAAAACTAACTACATTTTAGCCAACAGCTTCTTTGCAGTAATAGCAGGCAGTGATGACCTTGCCAATACCTATTTCACAATTGGTATCAGGAAATTCCACTACAATATATCGACTAGGTGCACGAAGGATCGCTGTTTTCAGTGCTCCGCCGGTGGGGTGTGTGCCGTCGCAGAGAACTCTGGCAGGGGGACAACTTAGAATGTGCAAGGAGGAGTATAACCAAGCTGCCCAGTTGTTCAACACCAAGCTGTCCCGTGCGCTTGATTCGCTCCAAACCAGCCTTGCTCAATCCAGGGTTGTCTATCTAGATGTCTACAACCCTTTGATAGACATCATCCAAAACCCTCATAACTATGGTAAATCACCTACACTAACTATATATTTCTATTTCCTATTTTGAAAAATGGCTTATAAAGACTATATTAAACAGATGCTTAATGTTTGTTATATTAATATTTCAAATTTCTAATGATATACCTACGGGTTATATAAATTATTTCAGGCTTTGATGTTGTGGACAAAGGGTGTTGTGGTAAGGGAAAAATAGAAGTATCTGTGCTATGTAACAAATTGAGCATGACATGCCCGGATGAGTCTGTTTATCTATTTTGGGACAGTTATCATCCCACTGAGAGAGCATACAAAATCCTCGTCCATCAGATCCTCCAGAAGTACATCAACAGGTTCGTCTGAAGTGCGTTCGCCTCTTGGATTTCTCTCTCATCCAATCTCTTCCGCCAGATCAAATATCAGACGGTCGACATTGGTCCTTTACTCAAATTAGAATTACAAAATGTAACCATTTATCATGTGTTAAGTGTAAACTTGTATGATGTCCTGATTCTTGCAGCTACAATAGTTCTTACTTCTCTATTGCAATCATATTAAAATCAAAATCTATAAGGATGAAAACAATATCATCATTGATATATTATTATAATATTACTGAGCAAAAAAGATGCACAAGAGTACTTACTCCGATGATGATAGATGTCCGCCAACAAACGGACAACCCAATCATTTAACAGGGGAAAGACAGGAGTGATCACAAGGACCAACTAGACCGAAACATAAGGGCGGGAAACTGGGCAGTTCCATCCATCACGTATACAAGAGCTGGCTGCAAGCGGCATCTCTTACCGATGTTGAAGTTCAGAAAGGTTTCAGCCTGAAAATGGTCCCAACTCTTGGGACCTTGGATTGACCCAGCCAAGCTCAGACCCCATCCAAAATCGTCTTCGGGTGTATCAGACATGGTAACAGCCCATTGTAGATGTTTGGGATTTGATTTTTGCATCTCAAGCCAACCGCCAATTCTAGTACTCTCATCAAGCTCTGATTCCAGCATTACAGCAATTGATCCAGCCATGACACTTTCCTGTTTGTGTGTCTCGATGGGAGGAGAAGATGCCTCCATCACTGCTTCAGGACCTTTACGGCGGTTGAAAAGGCCAACTGGCACTGCTAGGGCTCCCAGACTGACCTGTTGACTTGATAATTTAGGCACTTGGTGTATGCCCATAAGAGAGAGTTTTGTGCTTCTTGAAAGCTGGCAGACAATTTGCCCAAAAGTGCCGAAAATACGTGTTATTCCAATAGAACAAGGCTGCATCCCCAGTACTGAGACAAATTGAGCCAAAGAAGCAACAACATTTGGTTTTCTCACCATTAGGCCAACGGCGCTGCCCTTATGTTCATTCAAAAGTGATGGTCCATGCGATGAGTAGTTAGTAAGACCTCCTCCCTGCCAAAAGCATATAATTCATCATTACCCCGTCGCTGAAAATCGGGAGCCAGACTTGAAAAATAGCAAATACTTATATACAGGCAAAACACGGAAAGTAAAATAGAACAACTCCAACATTATGCTTAAAAGTTAATTTTGACACAACATTTTGAATACACAAACAGGACCATCCTCGCTAATACAACCAATCTAATTGACCTTGACATGCAAAGAAAAAGTGATAGCCACAGAGAAAAAAGCACAAAAGAATATCACTAAAGACTCCTACTGTGCAACCAGAAACAAGTGACGCTCAAAAGAGTTGGTGGAAGAAACAAACAATTTGCAGAAACAAACAAACGGTTAAGATCATCACATCATGTTCACTTGCAGGCCATAAGCACTTCGAGGTACATGTAATCGATTGATTATTTATTCTCATGCATACGAACTCAAATCACTGTATAGTAGAAATGATAATACAAAACCAATATAAAAAGGTGTACATATCCAAAATACCAGTGCTGGTCCTGCTGGAGCACAAACAAAACACCAAAGATAAAAATTACCATATAGATTTTACCTGATAAAAAGAATTTGTAGCAACTCCAACATCCCTGCAGTGAGCTCCCATCGGAATTGCAATAGCAGAGAACCAGTCACTAATATTTGCGGCATAAAAGACTTTTGCTAGTGAAAGTGGACTGCCTAAAACATCACTCTGGCCTTTTTCACTGGCCACAAACTCTGCTACAAGAGTATCTTTTTGCCGAATGGTAGTCTCAAAAGTGAATTTAGAATGAATACCCGTACGGATTCCTGCACTGCTAATTGCATCATGTTTCTGTTGATCAACATTATCAATCATTAGTAAAGCCCCCAATACATCAACCTCTCCCCTTATGTGTGTGCTGGCTTCTTGGAATGGACTTCCCTTGGAAGGCTTGTAGAAGGAAAGCACTCTCTCCACCTTGTCTTGTCTATCCCTAAGTTTCATAAGATCTGAAAATGCTTCTCGCTGCAAGCGCTTCAAAATTTCAATCTGAAAATCGTATCATGGGAAGAGTTGTAAAGCCCCATCATACAGCTTGCCCCCTACATACGGGAGCAGCAAAGTTGTCAAACTCAAAATAACGAAAAGCAAAACAGAGTGTGACAACTCAAAGATGACCATGCAATAGAATGTTTGCCAGCAGCACCTAATGTGTGTTAATTGGAATACTGGTAATGGGTAATGGTTCAACAATTTATTTTTTTTATAGGTACAACACACCCCTCTTTCTCCGTCAGGACTCAAACATTATGCTTCCCGGCAAGAGACACCACTCATATTAGCAACTAATGGTATCTACCCCTTTTGTCAGCACTCATGTTGTTTACCTGGAGGAGGATTATATTATGAACCACAGACCTAGTAGCCAAATAATATTAAAGGAGATGGTTGGCACATCAGATATACCCCTATGGACACACCTAATATAAATACTGAGAATGATGACACACAAGAAGTCCTTGTTGAATTACCATCATCTAGATTCCTTCACCAGTCCTTCGGCGTAGTGGCAGGACTAACATCCGACCCGACAAATTCACTCTTTTGGGTGAGGTCTATAAGGCCGTCCCCAATAAGCTTGAGTCGGATCTAGTAAGCTATGCGGAAGTGTTGATCGATATAGATGCGAATCGTTGGAAAGATGCTATGAAATCAGAGTTGGAATCTATGTATTCTAACAAAGTCTGGGAAATTGTAGAACTTCCTAGTGGGGTTCAGCCCATTGGTTGTAAGTGGATCTACAAACGAAATAGAAGAATGGATGGAAATGTTGAGACATTCAAAGTTAGACTGGTTGCCGAAGGCTTCACTCAACGTGAAAGTATTGATTATGAGGATATATTCTCACCAGTTGCAATGTTAAATCTATTCGCATTCTTTTGGCCATTAGTGCTCATTATGATTATGAAATATGGCAGATGGATGTTAAGACGGCATTTTTAAATAGCCATCTTGAACAAGACATCTATATGAGGCAACCAGATGGTTTCGTGGTTAAAGGTCTTGAGGACTGTGTGTGTAAGTTGAATAGGTCTATTTATGGACTTAAGCAAGTTTCACGCACATGGAACATTTGTTTTGATCAGGCAGTCAAATTATTTGGCTTTGAACAAAACGTGTTTGAACCTTGCGTTTACAAGAAAAAAAAAATAGGGTAATGTCACCATGATTCTCGTTTTATATGTTGATGACATCTTACTCATTGGTAATGATGTAGAGGCTTTGTCATCAATTAAAAGGTGGTTGTTCAATAAATTTGAGATGAAAGATCTTGGAGAAGCAAGCTATATTCTTGGGATCAAGCTTTTGTGATATCGGGTTAAAAAGAAAATAGGCTTGTCTCAAAAGTCTTACATTGACAAAGTTCTAACCAGGTTTGGAATGGAAAACTCTAAGAAAGGGTTTTTACCATTTAGACATGGATTGGCTCTTTTTAATGACCAATCTCCCAAGACTGATAAGGAAATTGAGCAAATGAGGCGGATTCCATATGCTTCTGCAGTTGGTAGTCTCATGTATGCCATAGTCTATACCAAGGCAGACATCTGCTACTTTGTAGGGATTGTCAGTAGATATCAGTCCAATTCTGGACTCGATCATTGGTCAGCTGTGAACAATATCTTAAAATACCTTAGAAGAACTAAGAGTTTCATGCTCATTTATGGAAGTGATGATTTGGTTCCAATCAGATATACGGATTCTGATTTCCAATCTGATCCAGATGCTAGGAGATTTACATCTGGATATGTGTTCAAACTCAATGGAGGGGCAGTTAGTTGGAAGAGTGTAAAGCAGGGTTGTACTGGTGACTCAACCATGGAAGCAGAATACATTGCAGCCTCTGAGGCAACAAAAGAAGCTATTTGGTTGAGGAACTTTTTAATTGAACTGGAGGTTGTGGAGCATATAGATCGGCCTATGACACTTCATTGCGACAATAGTGTGGCTATAGCCTAAACCAAAGACCTAAAATTTCATAAAGAAACAAGACACATTCAAAGGAAACATCATGTGGTTCATGATATAGTAAAGCGAGGAGATATACTTGTGGCCAAGATTGCATCGGAACACAACCTTGCTGATCCATTCACAAAGGTTTTACCGATCAAGATATTTGATCGTTATATAGAAAACATGGTAGTTAGATGTGATTTGAATTGGCTATAAGTGCAAGTAGGAGCTGTTGGGATATGTGTGCCCTAACATAGTAAATTCTTATTTGGATTGTAAAAGTCATGGTTCTTTATTTAAATATTATTATTAAGACATTATACAATTGGTGAATGGAATGTATTATTTTTTTCGATTCATAATGGAATTGATTGTGTCCACTTGATTACAAGATATATTTATATATGTATGTAATAGCAATTAATATTAAGTTATAAATTAGTAATCATAAATGGTTCAAAGTCGGTAATTATGGATGGACATTTAATTAATTAAGACTTGAACTGAGTCCACGATAAGTTGAGATATATTGTGAGAGTCGTCGTATGCAATTGTTCTCTATCACATTCATGGCTTTTGAGTCTCAAGTATGAGAGAAGTATAGACTTTTTTATTAATTAATAATTACTTTGATTTGTTCGGTGGATACTTCGGAATCCTTAGATCGGCGCTTTGGGTAGTTATGTAATTAATAGTTAGAGGGTTATATTCTCAATATTTGCATCAGTGCTACTTGTATTTATTTTGTATTGATTATGGTTAATCACAAATTAAATTCGAAGGCCTTCGTATGTTTTAGACAAAATATTTTCTATATATTTATTTAGTAAATTATTATTTTTGTCAAACAAATATTTTGTTGTGATCAAGTCGGAAATAATCAAAGGTAATAAAATAATTATATTAATTATGTTGTCGAATTGATGACTTTATAACCTGATAA